CCTCAGAGAATAGGTGCAAGTACTCCTGTCTCCCCCGAGTCACTTCTTGTCTCTGCCCTGACCTACCTCTGAACCAGGGCCATCTTAATAGCATCATGGGTCCCTGGGCAAAGTAATGCATGGGGACCCCTACCAGCCTTCCTCAGTTTATGCACCTACTCTCAAGAATTAAAGTAGAAATAGTTGATTTAGATTATTATTATACAGTATTTATATAGCGCCAACAGTTTGCTCAGCGCTGTACATTACAAAATCGGAGACAGTACACGAGACAGTACAGTAACAATACACTTCAATACACGAGGGGTTCAAGGGCCCTGCTCCTTGGAGCTTACAATCTAGGAGGGAGGGGATAGTGGTACAGGAGGAAATAGCTGTGGGGGATGGAATAGTAGGAAGAGTGGAGGAGATCGGCAATTAGCTGAGGGCGGGGTAGGCTTCCCTGAAGAGATGGGTTTTCAGGGTGCGCCTAAAGGTGAGGAGACTAGGTGATAGTCTGATGGATTGGGGTAGGGAGTTCCAGAGGATGGGGGAAGCCCTGGAGAAGTCCTGGAGACGAGCATGGGAGGAGGAGACCAGGGAATTAGAGAGTAGGAGGTCCTGTGAGGAGCAGAAAGTATGTTTTGGGTGGTATTTGGATATCAGATCGGTGATGTAGTTTGGGGCAGTGTTATGAACAGCTTTGTACCTCAATGTTAGCATTTTGAATTTTATCCGTTGGGCAATCGGAAGCCAGTGGAGGGATTGGCAGAGGGGCGTGGCGGATACAGAACGGTTAGTAAGGTGGATGAGTCTGGCCGCAGTATTCAGGATAGAATGAAGCGGGGATAGCCTGCGGTGAGGTAAGCTGGTGAGGAGGGAGTTACAGTAGTCAAGGCGTGATATAATAAGGGAGTGAATGAGTTGCTTAGTAGTTTCCGGGGTTAGGAACGGATGTATTTTGGAGATGTTGCGGAGGTGGAGTCTACATGAGTTTGAATTTAGATGACCGGCCCTCTGTTTCCTCCTGTACCAAATTGTATTATGACTGTTATGTCTGCCTTCATTTTGTAAAGTGCTGAGCAAACTGTTGGCGCTAAATAAATCCTGTATAATAATAATAATAAAAAACATATATTTAATAGTACTTTCAATAAAAATTGAATTTAAGCAATAAGACAAAATTCCATAAATCAAAGACTAATCAACACAAAGGGCACAGTACAGGGGGGATGCAGAAGGGCACAATACAAGAGACAGGAGGTCATAGTACAGGGGGGGATCAGGAGGGCACAGTGCAGATTCTGGGATGCTGGCCAGGACATGGCCATCCTGGGACAGTGTAGGAAAAAGCCTGTCCCAGCAAATCTGAGACAAATAGCAAGTATGATGCAATGCAAGATTATCATGGGGCCCAAATGCACCTGGGGCCCCTGGGCAGCGCATTAAGATGGCCATGCTCTGAACACTGTCCCTTGTCTCTGTCCCCTATTCACCTCCTATTACTGCTCCTTTTAGAGAATACAGAGCCAAGTATCACTTTGTGGTGTGAAGTCATTTGTATGGAATTGATTCATGATAATTGACCCACCCCAGGAGCAATAGATCTGCCCCAGCATCAACAGATCCCCCCAGCAGCCACCATCAATAGGCCCTCCCACAAGCAGTAGATCCCTCCAACAACATAAGAAACCCAGAGCAATTATAGACCCCTCCAGCAACACTACATCCCCTAGCTGCATTAGATCCCCAGCAATCGACATCAACAGACCGTCCAGCACAACCCAGCCCCCTTTGCCAGTACATACATATAGGAAGTGTCTGGGTTGGGATTCAAATCAATGACCCTAGTTCTGCAAGGCAGAAGTGTTAATCACTAGGCCATTGTGGAAATCAAAGGTTGTTGGACAGGAGGGTGTTAACAGGGCCGCCCATGAAGTGAATTTTTCCTGGTTTATCATTCTGTGCTGGATGCGTTCTCGCTGAAAAAAAGCCCTGCCTACATCAATCTCCTCCAACAAAATTACAATTTACATATAGGTGGATCGCTTTTCCTACTTTTCTTCACTTATCAGGCGTTTCCAGCTTAAAGTGTTACTAAACCCTCAACTGTTAAATCAGTCTGTGTATGCAGTAAAGCATGCTTATTGTACGAACTGTGGAACCTAAGGGGTTAATCCTCTGCATTGTGTATAAACGCTGTTTGATCCATCCCTTTTTCCAGTGTCCCCTTCTTATCTCCTGATAAGACATATCGTGTGGAGTCACTCTGCCCATGCTCAGTTTGGTGTGTATTGCTAGAGAGGTTTTTTTCTTGGGAGAGTGCATGTGATCAGCATAGGGCCAATCAGCATTGTACAGACAGAGGGTCAGGGGTCCTGCTTCCACCTAGAGCAGAATTAAAACTCCCCCTACAAGCTTTAACCAGTGCTCTGCTGGACACTGATAGAAGTCACAAAACTGGTCTAACTGCTGATGAGAAAAGGTATTTAGCAGTTTATAATAACTAAAATATTTGCATTTCCATATTCTGTGTACCGTGGGAGACCAGATATAGTGAATGCAGCGTCCTGGGTTTAGTAACACTTTAAATCTGACATTTTCAGCAATAAAAAGGCTTTTATGGATATATATTTAATTTAATGCGAAATGAACTGGAAAGGTTAAAAACCTTATGCTATAAAAGTGAGCAACATCCACTATTGGGTACTGCAAAGTTTGGGGAAGTTGGAAAAGTTTACTGTAAATAGAGATTAGCTTGGGCATCCTCCAGACTCATCTCTAGCCAAACAAAGGTATGTGTGGCCAATAATTACCACTCAGGTCCTTACATTTTTTAGTTTATTACAGGTATTTATATAGTGCCAACAATTTACACTACTCTTTACATACTGTACGTTCACACCAGTCCCTGCTCTGAAAGAGCTTACAGTCTAAGGTCTCTACTTTATATACATATATACACAGGCACAGGGCTTTTTTTCAGCAGGAACATAGGGGAAAGTAGTTCCAGCACTGAATGTATTTAATGGCAAGGGATGCAGGGGTGTCCTGGAGGGTCTATTAATGCTGGGGAATCTACTGTTGCTGGGAGAAGGAAATATTTTTGTGGGGGTCTATTGTTCCTGGTGGGGGTCTTTTGTTGCTGGGGGTCAATTGTTGTTGAGAGGTATCTACTATTGAGAGGGAGGTCTATTCTTTTGTTAATGGCTACTCGGAGATACATTGTTTCTGGTGGTTGCTAGGGGGGTCAATTGTTGCTGGAAGGTATCTACTATTGAGGGAGAGGTCTATTGTTGATGGCTGCTGGGAGATACATTGTTTCTGGTTGGGTTCCCTTGTTTCTGGGGTGGTTCTAGTGTTACTGGGAGGTATTTTGTTTCTGGGGGTTACTGTTGCTGGAGGCATCTATTGTTGCTGGAAGGGGTCTATTTTTGGCTGCAGGGGATCATAACAAATTACATAGTAATTACTTAGCAAAACAAAATTATACTTGGTTCTTTATTTCCTAAATGGGAAATGGGTAGTTGTGGAACCAAAGGGCAGTGCTTGGAGATTGATAGGGGGCAGAGACAAGGGGTGACTCAGAAGGGGTAGTACCTGCACCTATTCTCTGAGAAAAAAAGCCCTGCACAGGCCAATTTACCTACCAGCATATCTGCGAGAAGGAAGAAATCTGAGTACCTGGAGGAAACACATATAGGAAGTGTCTGGTTTGGATTCAAATCAATGACCCTAGTTCTGCAAGGCAGAAGTGCTAATCACTAGGCCATTATGGAAATCAAAGGTTGTTGGACAGGAGGGTGTTAACAGGGCTGCCCATTAAGTAAATTTTGACTGGTTTATCAGGAACCCATGCTCTTGGGCTTTTGGAGGAATGCCCTGGAGGCAGCGAGTGGATCTGAGGAGTGGCTGGTGGCCCTATTGAGGGATCTTAGCCAATCCCCAACAAGAGATTGGCAAGGGGCTGGACACCCTTAAAAGTGTTGGAGCCTGCTTAGTTGCAGGAGAGAGAGTTCAGGTGGAAGATAGAAAGGATGATGTGAGGCTGAAGGAAGGATGCTGCAAGGAGATCCAGTGGGATGCAGCCTACCTGCAGGCCTGGAGCTGGGAAGGAGGAAAGCTCAGAGCTCACTAGCCCCCAGAGCGAGGACCACCTGTATGGCAGGGAAGGAGCGGCCCAGCTAAAAGGCCTGGAAGCAGCCACCAACCCACCAGCAGTACAGGAGAGGATCTGCGTGAGTACCGCTGCACCCCATGAGTGGATAGGGGAAGGTGCACTCTGGTGGGAAACCAGATTTGCCAGTTCATCTCTTAAAGTGACCGGAACCGGATCATCTGTTTAGGGATACCTCCAGATTGCTGAGTGAGCAGGAGAAGTTCATCCAGGATCTGGGGTGGTACATTGAGGCTGGCTAGCTCGCCATCAAAGACTGTGTGGAAGTGAAGACTTGTGAATAGTTCTAGGAAGTTGTCCTCAGTTCATCAGTTCCCTTGGGCATCCTGTACACCCCTAACCCTATCCCAGTCCAATTCCTCCAAACAATACAACAAAAACAATATGACTCTGGAGTTTTAGTGAAAATGGGTAATGCATGGCTGTGCAGGACTATAGGGGGACCAAAATCTTCTAGCAACTCCTAAAGGGCTAGTGCTACAGAATTAAATAGTATTTTTGGTTTGTGGTGCTCAAATGCAGTGCAATTCCACTTTGGGTTCTGTCTGGCTTATTTTACCACTTTATCAAATATGATTCAGGCCTATGAAAGGGGCAATAAGAGGCAATAACTGCATGCTTTTCTGTATCAGTGATGCATTTCAGGCATTGTGCGCAGATCTGTTATATTTAAACTGGAAAGTAAAAAAACTGTTTCCTGGGTTGGTACATCCTTACAATGTTTTTGTTCTTTTTTTAATAGATTTTTACGCTGCAAAAAGATGAGATATATGGTTTCGATAACCGTGTTTTGGCACAAGCATTTCTTTGAAGGGTGTTCACTGATGGCGATCAAAGTAAAAAAATGATTAGAATCTGGGGCACAAAGTTTTGGATCACATGTCTGATTGTAGCCTTCTTTTTCCTACTAGTTACATTTCAGGTAAGATGGTAAAAAATATGGGGTTCTGCACTGCACAATCAGGTTTCACATTGGCCTTTATGATGTGGAAGTTCTCTGGCTGGAAGTTAAATATTCATAAAGCTGATCTCTAGGCAATCCGCTAAATACACAGGTGAAATACATATTAAGGAGCTGATTTACTTGCCAAAGCATTTGTATTTTATTTCCATGCATTTCTAAGATTTACACAGCCCTGCCAGACATAACAGCATGGTTGAGAACTTTTTCTGCTGCACTTCTCTGCCTGTGATTAGACAATTAAGAAGGAGCAGAAGGCTAATGAGCTTGTCAATCTGCTCTCTTCTCGCTCCTTATTAAGACATGAGCAGTTCAGTACAGCTAACTGACTTTTTGTGCTACTTCTCCTTTCCCAGTCTGAACTCTGCTGTACACTGGGTTACAAGAAGCTGATGCCATGTCAAATTTAAGTACTTACACTGGTTGCTTTTAAAAACACACTTAGGGCCCAGTCACATTTCAGAATGCAGCCTAAACACACTGTGTATATTGGTGCCCCTGGTGCTGCATAGATCTGCTTACACTCATTCATGTTTATGGGTGGCTATGCGTAATGTGTACAGTAGCGCATGTGTATGTATAGATGTGAGGTCCTGCACACAGAGCTTGGAGCCACTTTAACCACTTGCCTACTGGGCACTTTTACCCCCTTCCTGCCCAGGCCAATTTTCAGCTTTTAGTGCTGTTGCACTTTGAATGACAATTGTGCAGTCATGCAACACTGTACCCATTTAAAAATGTTATCATTTTTTTCACACAAATAGAGTTTTCTTTTGGTGGTATTTAATTGCCACTGGGTTTTTATTTTTTACACTATAAACAAAACAAAGCAAAAAATTAGAAAAAAAAAAAGGTTTTCTTTGTTTCTATTATAAAATTTTGCAAACAGGTAATTTTTCTCCTTTACTGATGCGTTTTGATAAGGCTGTACTGATGGGCAGCACTGATGTGCACTGATGAGGCGGCACTGATAGGTATCACTAATGGGTACTGATAGGCTGCACTGATGAGGCGGGACTGATATGCAGCAATGATGGGCACTGATAGTCGGCACTGATGAGCACTGACGGGCTGCACTGACCAGAAGCACTGCTGGGCACTGACGGGCGGCGGGCGGCACTGCTGAGCACTGATGGATGGCACTACTGTGTGACACTGCTGGGCACTGATGCGTGAGATTGCTGGGTGGTCCTGGGTCCTGATTATCAGTGCTGATATCCTCTGTCACATTTACCGGTTATCGGCAGTACTTTCCTCACGCTGTAACAGTGTGAGGAAAGTGCTGCTGATAACTGGCAACTGTGTTTACTTTGTGATCTGCTGTGTCATTGGACGCAGCTGATCACGTGGTAAAAGGCCGCTGTGATTGGCCTTTTACCTTGTCATGTGATTAGATCACTGACAGCGCTAGGTGTGTGTGCTGGGGGCGCGTTCTGGGAGGATGTTCATGGATGCCCTCCCAGAACTGGACAGCTGCCCTGTAGCCATCTTTCGGCTATAGCACCATTGGCAAGCAGTTAAGCAGCTAGCTGCACGTATCTGCATACAGCTGCCTACACTCATTCATGTCAATGGGCAGCTGTATACAGCAACAAGGGCTCCTGGGCACCACAATACACAGCGTGATTATTCTGTAAAAGGAATATGCACTTGTGCATAAGTCCTTAATGTTTTTTTAATGAACACATGCCTCCATGACTTAATGTGTTGTTGTCATACAATGAAAAGTATGTAGGCTCACATCCCTGTTGTCTTATTCTGGAAAAGTTGTCTGGCTGTCATGCTCATTATTTGGCTTCAGTCATTTACTGACATGGAACAAGTATATCACCTAAACACATGTGCTATACAAATGCAGTCACCACTCCTTAGCGGCTGTAAATTACACCCAGCCTGGGTTGTACAGTTCTGTGCAAAGGTTTTAGACAGGTGTGGAGAAATACTGTAAAGTAAGAATGCTTTCAAAAATAAATATTTTAATTGTTTTTTAATTTTTACAAATTATAAAAATGCAAAATGAGCAGTGATAAGAAAAATCTAAATCAAATTTGAGTCAGGTGTATGAGTAACCAATTTTACCAAGCAGGTGCTAAAAATCATCAATTTCATACTGTATGTAGGCTAAAATACAGCCATTAACTGAAACATAAATAGCTGTGTAGGAGGCTTAAAACTGGCTGAGGAAGAGCCAAACTCTGCTATTAAGGTGATGTTGTGGAAGACAATTTCGTGTCTCAGGTCATACACCATGGCAAGACTGAGCCCAGCAACAACACACAAGGTAGTAGTTATACTGCATCAGCAAGGTCTCTCCCAGGCAAAGATTTCAAATCAGACTGGGGTTTCAAGATGTGCTGTTCAAGCTCTTTTTAAGAAGCACAAAGAAACGGGCAACTTTGAAGACCATAGACACAATAGTCTGCCAAGGAAACTTAATGCCGCAGATGAAAGACACATCATGCTTACTTCTCTTCTACATTAGAATTTGTTCTGCAGTGCCATCAGCACAGAACTGGTGGAAACCAGTGGGACTCAGGTACATCCATCTACTGTCCAGAGAAGTCTGGCCAGAAGTGGTCTTCATGGACGAATTAAGGCCAAGAAGCCATACCTCCAATGTGGAAACAAGACTAATGACTCAACTTGGCACAAAAACAGAGGAACTGGGATGCAGAAAAATGGCAGCAACTTCTTTGGACTGATGAGGAAAATGTGAAATATTTGACTGTAGCAGAAGACAGTTTGTTTGCTGAAGGGCTGGAGAGCAATACAATAATGAGTGTCTGCAGGCAACAGTGAAGCATGGTGGAGGTTCCTTGCAACTTTGGGACAGCATTTCTGCAAATGGAGTTGGAGATTCGGTCAGGATCAATGGTGTCCTCAATGATGAGAAATACAGGCAGATACTTCTCCATCATGCCATACCATCAGGCGTGTGATTGGCCCCAAATGTATTCTGCAGCAGGACAATGACCCCAAACATACAGCCAATGTCATTAAGAACTATCTTCAGTGTAAAGAAGAACAATGAGTCCTGTAAGGTATGGTTTGGCCCCCACAGAGCCCTGATCTCAACATCATCAAGTTTGTCTCGGATTACATGAAGAGACATGAAGATCTGTTGTTAGTTCTTCAAGATGTTCGGAATGACCTATGTGCTGAGTTCCTTCAAAAACTGTGTGCACAAGAACTGTGTGTACCTAGAAGAATTGATGCTCTTTTGAAGCCAAAGGGGGTCACACCAAATATTGATTTTGATTTGATTTAGATTTCTCTTATTTTCGTTTACTTTCCATTTTGTTAACATGATTGTAAGCCCTCACCTTGTAAAACAACCCATTCAGTTTAAAATAGAAAACAAAGGCAAAACATTTGTGAGTATATATATATATATATATATATATATATATATATATACACTTTTTCCCCCTTTTTAGACATGATTACATTCTCTGTTCTCAGCTGCATAAGAGCTGGAGGGGGAGAAACAGCAGACCACTGAACGTCCCAGTGAATGGCTGTGCAGGAGGTGGGGGCGTGTCAGCACAGTCTGATCATTGGAGGAAAGCACACATTTCTCCTGCCAGTTTTTAATAGGAAAGCAGAGGGACTGACAGGAAGACCAGGGATTTCACACAAAGGAAGCAATCCAAGAGAACAAGATACCTTTTCATACAAGCATATGATACAGCAGGAACATATCAGGATGGAATATGAAATGTTGGGTTTACATATTCTTTAATTTATAAAAATAAACTATTAACACTTCTACTTCTAAAAGCATTCTAAATTTACAGCATTTTTCACACCAACCTAAAATTTTTACACAGTAGTGTATACTTAAAGTGATTATAAAAGCTAGACATTGTTTACCTTAATGTATTCCCTGCATTACTCCATCCTCACTCCATCCAGTGCTGTGCTCATCTCTAGCAACTCTCTCCTCCTGCATTCACAGGACAGAGGCATTTGGCTCCTGCTGCTGTCAGTGAAATTCTGTGAGCAGAGAATGGTCGGTGGGCCCGAGCCTCGCTAAGCTGTGTGTGTCAATGGACACACACATCCCAGTGTGAGAGCAAGATCACACATGTGCCACCACAGGAAGTAGATTCCTATGGTGGCATACAAAGAAGAGCAAAGAGGGCAGAAGGTGAAACCCAGAAGAGGAGGTTCAGGGCTTCACAGAGCAGATAAATATAACATCTTTATAATTTAAAAGAAAAAACAATTTTAGACTTTACAACCGCTTTATGGGGGGTAACGTCACTTTTGTGGAAAAAAAAATTAGCAAATAAAAAAAATTGACTCCAAGAGAGAATTTTTTTTTTTTTTTTAAACCGTACCATTGAAATAAGCTACCTCTAATAAAAAGTATATTGGGTCAGAATGGTTATTGCTACAAATGACATTGATGCTGTTATCACAAAAGATGTTTTCTTCTGGAGCTGCTACTGACAGTTCCAGCCTGTATACAGTATATTGAAGGATCGTGTTGCTCACGCTCCCCTTTCTCTCCTCTCATCCACTCACAAAAAGTCTTGTATTCTTTTTATAAAATATCAATCCATTCTGTGAATGGATCCTGTTGTTTAGAATGCCTTGTATTGTGTTAAATACTCTTCATTAGATGAAACTTATTTCAGTAGTACTATTTAACCACTTTCCCGCTGCCCTATAACAGCTATACTGCTACAGGGCTGCAGGGGTGTGCAAAATCACGTATATATATATGTGATTTTGCATTTTCGGGTAGGAGGCGCTTCTATTCACGGCTTCGGCTGTCAATCACCAGGTCCCGGCCGGTGATTACTCGCCGACACCCGGTGATCGCGAAGCATTACTGATGGAGGGAGAGAGCTCTATGTACACAATACAGTTCTTTCCCTGTACAGTTGAAAGCACACACACAGCCCACAGTAAAACAGCACACAGTTAACCCTTTGATCGCCCCACATATTAACACCTTCTATCCCAGTGCCAATAGTACAATGTCAGTGCTTTTTATTAGCACTGATCCCTGTATTGGTGTCACTGGGGATGTCAGTGACACCAAGTCAGTTCCCAAGTCAGTCTCAGAATGCCCGCTGTAGTCCCATAGTCCCGCTATAAGTCGCTGATCACTGCCATTACTAGTAAAAATATAAAATAATAACCCCCCCAGTATACAGTATATACTGCCATTTGTAAACTCTAGAACGTTCACGTAAACCAATTAATTTACACATATTGGGATTTTTTTGGCAAAGACATGTAGCAGAATACATTTTGGTCTAAATTTATGCGAAATTTGATTTTTTAACCCCTTGGTGTATCAAGATGGCCCTTCCGCCAGAAATGATGTCACCACATCTCAGTCTCTCGTCCGACTAGTTGCGTCACTAATCGCGTGACTTCATCAGGTTCCTTATTCCGGACGAGAGACGGAGACATGGTGACATCACTTCCAGCGGAAGGGCCATTTTGATACACCCATAGGAGTACACCCAGGAGTTCCTATGAGGATCTGTGAGCATTTTTTTCTCATAACACATGTGAGTGAGCATTTATAGTATTCTTTTATATCAATAAATGAAACAATATCACACGATGGAAGGATTCTTCTTCTTGTTTTATAAACATCGATGAGGAAGCTGAGGTACAAATAGATCATATGAAAACTATCCGGATATCTGGAGAGGTGATACCTGTAAGTTCTGTATGGAGATACCACCACTGTTTGTGATACCGAATCTGACGTGGAGGATTGAGAGGTTGGCTGTGCTTAATAGCAAAAAAGCAGTTTGACCCTGTGTGGTCGCTTCTTGAAGGTGAGGGGGCAATCTTACTGGTGAAGGATTACACTTTTTTCACCTGCCAGATTTATATTGATCGCTGGAGGTTTCTATATATCCAACCACATTGAAGATTACACACATGGACGGTTTATTGTTTATTAATAATTGGTGGCATGTGTTTTTGTGGACTTTGTTATAAATTTAAGTTATGTGTTTATCATAGTGTGTCACTGGATTTTCATTTGTGGATTCACTCAATATTTTATTTAATTATTTTTATTTTATTTTTTTTATTTTTATTTTTATTTTTTTTCTTCCTGCTATTTATATAGCAGTATAGTCCCAAGTTTAGGGACGAGAGCACGGCAATTTATACTTTGGTACATGTGGGCACTTCTTGAGTGGTGGTCGCACATTTATGTTGAAGGATTTGTTATAGTCCTTGTAGATTGTCTTATAGCAGGTTCCATTTATCCTGGCCGTCCTATTGTTTGTTTTATAGGCACAATAAAGCCATTTGTCAGTCTATTTCCACTGCACCTTTGGGCATTTATTTATGCCAAGTGTTTTATCACGTGTGGTTTAATACATGTTTGTGATTTCACCCTGTTTAGGGACACAACTAGGTTTATGTATTGTGTTTTTATGCGTTTTGCACATTTTAATTTTATTTCATACGGTTTATCAAACATCACTGCATAAGATTGTATAATAATATGAAGAATTGAGTTTGGGATAATTACACACAGGAGGATTCACTAGGGGTGTAATTGAAACCTCATTTTTGATTTAATTATTTATATAAGTATAAGTGTGGGAGCGCAGCACCAAGTGAGCATTTACTACCTTAACCTCCCTAGCGGTATTCCCGAGTGTAGCTCGGGGTAAAGTTTCTGTACCACAAGCGGTAACCCCGAGCTACACTCGGGCTTACCATGCGGCGCTGCATAGGGAGTCCCTGCAGAGCTTACCTTGTCCTTCGCTCCCGCGATGTGTCCCCTGCAGTGTCCTCCTCCGGCTGATGCCGGAATCCGGCTCCTGTGTTCCGGTCCCTGTGACGTCGGGACGTACGGGTGCCGCCGGCGGTGGGAAATTTTAAAATTTTTTAAAAATGTCTTTTTTTTCAAAACAAATTTTACATAGTAAAACATTGCTGTTTCAAACCATTTCACATACATTTTGTCCCTAGTGCTTTGTCCTGTCCCCTGTCTGCATTTTGACTGTTCTTTCTGCCTGGAAACTTAGAAAAGTCCATGGCGTCCAAAAAGCGTCCCTTTAGGTCAAAAGCAGAATTGAGTGGTTTAGAAATTCAGCTAGAGAACAGCGATAGTAAATCAGAACCACTTGCAGAATTGAGTGATAATGATTCGTGGAGAAATTCGTCATCAGACACTTGTTGAAAACAATTTTGCGACTTTGCTCAGTGATGTGCGAACTTGGCGCTATATTTCAAATTTCAGTGTTTTTTTTTTGGTTTGATTATATTATTGAATTAAATGTATGCAAAATATTGTACCATTATTATATATATTATTATTTTTTTATGATTATTTATTAAATTATAATTTATGATTTTGTGTTTCAAATTTTCAAATTTTATCATACCCGGGATGTTTAATAGACTCTTGTTCGGACAGATTTCAGTGAGTTATTCCTAAATATTACAGCCTACAATAAAAAAACTACATATTTCCATGCAAAATAATGGTACCACTTTCAGCACCAAAAATCTGAAATAATCAGACCGCCAAGGAGGTTAAGGCTAGTCAGAGCTACTGCTGGTAGTAAGAATAAACGAATGCAACCCGTACTACGGGAAATGTAATTCAAATAGCTGCTATTCACACATCTACTTTGGTAGCATGTATTTTCTTCTGCATTTTCAAATATAAAAGCTATTTTTTAAGTTTTAAATAAAACTCGGGCATAATGTTTCAAATTGTTATCTAACATTATTTTTTCCCCAAAGGTGGTGGTTGAACTAGGCAGATTTGAAAAACAGAAGAAAAAAGGTGTTTCTTTACAGGATTTACAACACCAGAAACAATCTCATTCATTGTTGACTGGATTACAAGCAAATCTCTTCCACAAAAGGTTTGACAATGGATTGGACAAATATCCCATCATGCTTTGGTGGTCTCCATTGACTGGTGAGAGTGGAAGGCTGGGACGATGTGGAGACAATTCATGTTTTTTCACTATAAACAGAACATACTTGCATCATCCTATGACAAAAGCTGTCCTGTTTTATGGTATGTTTTTTTTCTTCGCTGTGATAATGTTATATGCTTATATTGTTAAAAATGAAATTTAAGACCACTATATTTTGGTTTTATAATTTTTCTTTAAGAATTGTTGAGATGTGTCATGTAACACATTAACAAGTATTACAGACTGTAAAAATGTAGATTTCATTCTTTATAAAAGTTTTTCGTGGGTAAATTTGAAGCAAACATCCAGTTTGTTCTTGAGCTAAATAACTAGTTATTCAGAAGTAAGATAGAATGTTCCCCCATATTTTAGTTTGGTCAAAAAATGTAATATATTGCATCTATAACTCTTAAATGTGGTGGCTGCATTCATTTTCTACATTTAGGCTTTTTTCTATTTTCACCAGGTGATCCATCCAGTAACACACTTCCTGTCTTAGGGTATCTTCAGGGCAGTATAAAATGCACGAACAGATTTAGATGAACTTAAAGCGGAGTTCCACTCACCCTGTCAAAAAATAAAAGTCACCAGCTACAAAAACTGTAGCTGCTGACTTTTAAAAAACAGCCACTTACCTTTCCCTCGGTCCCGCGGTGTGTCACCCGCAGCCCATTTCACCGGCCATTTTCACAGCATCCATGGGCACGCGGCTGTGACAGCTTGCGGCTTCACAGCCGGGTACCCACTGCGCATGCACGAGTAGCGCTGCGCTTCATGAATGGTCCTGCAGTATTCTGGGTCATGTCACGTGTCCCAAAAGTCTACAGGGAGGGAGGGAGGACAACTTCCGTTTCCGGCCGCCAAGCGATTGGACCGGAAGTGGGAGCGGGTACCTGTCAAATTCGGGTACCCACCCCCCAAAGGTGTCAATCATTAACGGGGAGCAAGGGAGTAGTCCTTAACGCGGAACTTCCCCTTTTGGGTGAAGATCTGCTTTAACTTAACAAATTAAAGCTGAACTCAAGCTAGCAATAAGCAGTTACAACATAATTTTTTTCCCCCTGTAGAATAAAGGTTTTACATAAATGAATACATGCTTATCATTGTAATCACCCATTCCAGTAGAAAACGGTTTGTCACAAAACTGTATATGCCACTTTGCTGGACAGCTTAGTCTGTATAAGGAAGGTGAAAATAAAGAGGGAAAAGGTGGTTAAAATAGAAGTTCAGGTATGATTTCTTTATAGCATAGTTACCTGACGAACCCTGGGTAAGCTTCAATAACTGTAGCAGTCATCACTACTACAGTGATATCATTTGCTGGGTCCAGTGCTGAACTGCTGCCCTTCTGCATAGTAATCACAAAGGGGTGCTTGCTCAGCATTGCTGCCATTCAGAGAAAGCCTTGGATTTCTTTTTAATGAATACAAGGTGTTCTCTGATTGGATTATGTGGAGAGATGAAGTGGTGACATCACCAGCTGCTGCTCACTGCGATAGTACACCTGTGGTTGAGACTGCTAAAGGAAGGCAGTCAAGGGCGCTGTTCACGGGAGCAACAAAGACTGTGCTGTTGGGAGGAGGAGAAGTGGAGCCCACTCACATCAGCTGCAGGCCTGATACAATCTTGTAGTGAGTTGTATGCGGCCTGTGGGCCATAGTTTGAAACCCACTGGTGTAAAATACTTTTCTGTTATTAGTTTTTAAATTCCCCTCTTTCTCTCCAAAATAAGCAAACACATTTTGGCATGCTACACCCTTTTCATCCATTTACAACAAGTAGTTGTGTGACTATGTAGCCCATCATAGAAAAGTTCTACTGCACTCATTGTGTTGTTTAGTTGGATGAAGTCTTGTACACCAAGATGTTTAACAAGCAATAATTTGTTTTTTCCCCCCTGATCTCTGCCTATATATTTGCAGTTTTAGACTTAGCTTGCCCATCTTCAGGTTTGAAACCTGAAATGTTGTGCTTTACGGACATGATGCTTCAATTATTAGGCTAATTTATTTTTTTTATAAGTGCTCTGGGACTTTTTTGGTGACAGTTGTATATGGCCATGATATTTCCATTGTTAAGGTAATTTCATTTTCCATAAGTGCCCTGGGACTTTTTTGGTGACAGTTGTATATGGTCATGATGTTTCAGTTATTAAGGCAATCTCATTTTCCATAAGTGCCCTGGGACGTTTTTGCACTTGTATATTTTGAGCTGTGGCTAACCAAGTGCTGCAAGTAGAGCAGGCTTGTTGGTTAATGTTAACCTAATTTTAATTGCAGTGTGTCTGTACGCATGCCATGCTTTGAGGGATGCTGATGGAGGAGCAAAGTAACTATGTTTAAGTGTAGGTACCATAAGCCTATCATTCAGTAATATTTTTTGTTTTCTTCTTAGGCACAGACCTCAATATAGACAGCTTACCAATTCCACGTAAACGGTATCATGAATGGGCTTTATTTCATGAAGAGTCCCCAAAAAACAACTACAAACTCTTCCATCCACCAACCATTACCCTCTTTAACCACACGGCGACATTTAGCCAACATTCCCACTTGCCTTTGACAAGCCAGTATTTGGAAGGTCTACAAATACTAACATCACTTGATTACTTTGTGGCCGTGGGAAAAAAGAATGCCCTAAGGAAGAAACTTGCTGCAGTAGTATATGTACAGTCAGATTGTGACCCACCATCAGATCGTGACACTTACATTCAAGAACTAATGAAATACATTCCTGTGGATTCCTATGGGGAATGCTTACATAATCGAGGTCTACCTCCAGAGGTGAACAACCCATCGTTTATGGATCACGCACAGTTCTATCACATCCTTGCTCAGTATAAATTTATTCTGGCATTTGAAAATGCAGTTTGTGAGGATTACATAACAGAGAAGTTATGGAGGCCCCTTAAGCTAGGATCTGTACCCATATATTATGGTGCCCCAAATGTCGAGGACTGGCTTCCTAGTAATAAAAGTGCAATCATAGTGACTAGATTTTCACATCCAAGAGAATTGGCAAGGTATATAAAACAGATGGACAAAAATGACAGTTTGTACATGGAATTTTTAGATTGGAAACTAAAAGGTCATATTAGCAACATGCACTTGGTCACTGCTATCAAAGAAAGAAAATGGGGTGTACAAGATGTAACACAAGACAATTATATTGATGCATTTGAATGCATGGTGTGTACAAGAGTTTGGGATAACATAAGGCTGACAGAAAAGGTATGTGTGAATACCATAATATAAAAAAATGATTGCTAGTGACAAATTTGAATCAGACTTACATTTTAGAAATATTTTAAAACCAACAGACATGTTATTTCATCTAAACAAGTGAACGTGTTGCTTTATGTGTTTTTTAACCTGTACATGAAATCATAATGAACTGTTCATGGTTACAGACAGTTTTCAAATATTCTGTTGACTTAAACTATTTATTAATCCTGGTGTGTTAAATAAAGAACCTTTAAAATATATTAACCTGAAAACTCAACCCCAAAACAATCTGTTTTTACAGAATGCTCAGAATATATCAATAGCTGAGAAAATATATTAGCTGCCAAAGAATGTAATTGTAGTCTCCCTAATTGGTCATCTAATGCAACATTACAATCAAGTAAATCAAGAGCTTCCTTTAATTATGGCCTAGTGTACTGACCATGTGCCTAAGTAAAGGTTGCTCAAGCTATTTGATTTCTCTAATCCACTACTTTTTGACTATGCTTGTGTTTGGTATCTTCTCCTGATTCCCTGCCCCTAGTGTTAGGTCAGCATTTTTGTGATTACTAATTAGGAATTGGTATCTGCTGTCTCAGCCTAATATTTTCTGTAGGCTTTGTCTTATGTTTCTGCTGTTACCGGTAAGGTCATCTTGAAGACATGTGCCTGGAAGATGTCCTCCAGGCAATTGAATCCTCACCATAGGGTGCTCTAGAAAAGGGTGAATAGTTTTAGAGCCTTATGTTTCTGAAATAGAAGAATAAGCTGAGTTTGTGACATTAAAAAGATCTAAGCTTTTTGGAAAGCTTACTATTGTCTGGTAATATGGTGAATGATTTGGTTCTAATTCTAAAGTTCAAAATATGGCATAAAAATGTCTTTGTTCAAATCTCTAGGAAAGCCTAGACCTCAGCTATTGGAAAGTGATGAACTTGAAGTTGTGTGCCCCCTCAACAGAGTGTAAATACTTTGTCTAGAACAAGAGGGAAAGCAGATTATCTGTAATAGTGACAAAAAGGCATGGCTATTCAGACAGCTGCAGAAATGTTCAGATTTAAAATGGATAGAAAGGGTAGTTTATATGCAGAGACATAACTAGAACCTTCAGGGTCCCAGTGCAAGAAACTATAAAAGGCCCCCCTGACCCCTGGCCAGAGTCCTTCCCATTGATCCTGGGGCCCTTACTCCTGTTGCAGGGGCCCTTTATTATGGTCTCGCATGTTCTGAAGTGGCCCCCCTTCCTGCCATCTTGAGCTCCTCCAATGGTGGTGGAATGCCAGGGCCCGGTCACAAGTGTAACCTTTGCGGCCCTGGTAGTTCTGCCACTGTTTATATGCGAGTAAGATCAAACACCTCTATTTTAGAATGTCACTAGAGAACAGAGTGGGGAAGGATTAGAGCCCCCATATTCTTATGTGAAGAGGAGACTTATAGAAAAATTGTCTGTAATGTCCTGGTAAAGAGTGTACAAAATGTCCCAAAGGTTTTACACCAAATCTATTATGTTATGCTGGTACATAAGTAAAAGCAACTGTAGTGATTTGTGGTCCATATGTCTTCTACCTGTGAATATATTAAATGGACATCTATTTTTTATTTTTACAGGGTCTAAAAGAAAAGCAGTGGAAAGCAGAGATGACTCACTTAACATGTCCTGCTCCTGAATCCTTTACATTTGTGCAAGAACGTGCATCAAAGTCTAGTATGAGAGACATGTGGAAGCCCAGCTTTGAACAGTCAAAAAAAGAAGCTCAGGCACTCAGACTGCTGGTTGACAGAAACAAAAATTTTACCACTCAGGACTTTTGGAACCTTGTTTTCAAACATTAAACTGAGGACTAGGCAGATGCCAAAACTCCAGTTACATATTCTTCAAAATAATGTTAAATGTATGTTTAAATACATTTAGTATACATTTACCTGAATCTTTCTGTATATTAGCTTTGTATAATTCCCTATATAAGCATATAGGACTTTACATTAGCGCATTGCACAGTGCAGTCAGTCTAACGCTGGGAGCTTGCTAAGTGGTAAGCTCATGATTGTGGTGGTTGTAATTAATTATCATCAGCCTGGGGTGTGTTGGTGAGCAAGTTGTATTTATGCACTGCAGCGAAGTAAAGTGAGGCCTATTTTGCAGGACTGCCTGTATCAGAAGAATGTCTGGACAGAAAAAAAAACAAACAAATGTTTGTGTGTGTGTGTGGGGGGGGGGGGGGTGGGGGGGGGGGGGGGGGTTATTCTTTGTATTTAAGGTAATTGCCTGGAGTTGTACTTTGATATCATGCACTTAGTTCACATTTTTTAATTTTCCAGCTTTAGAGGGTCAAATATAAACATGCAAAATGAATAAACATTATACTAATTAAATCAATGTTCAGTCGCTCATCCTGTTACTGTAATACTAATATGTAATGCAGGAATAAGAATTAAATGAAAGAGTCTTTGCGGCAGTCCTCGCCTAATTGAGTGCCAGGTTTTGTTGACCTTGCTGTTTGCTTCAATTTTCCAATCATGTGCAGATTAAATAAGTAAACAGTAATTTGCTTTTCACGTGATTGGATAATTGTGTGAAATCTCGCAACCCATTTAGTAAATCAGCCTAGTTTTCTTTTCTTTGGTTTTTCCAACCTTGCCTGTTGTGTTATAGTAGGCTACATTATAAGATCATATGATTTCAATATAGAGATCAGGAAGATAGAGCTTTAATATGTCATTTTAATTACATATCAACATGGAGTTTGATTTGAAAAAAACTTGTGCTTAGCTCTTAAAGGTCATCACAGCAGGTTCATTTTTTTTTCCCATCCACATGATCAACACATACCTTTCTTGCACTCCCCCTCCACTCAACCATCAAGAGCAAACCCATCGTTTAACCACTTGCCTACTAGGCACTTATACCCCCTTCCTTACCAGGCCAATTTTCAGCTTTCAGCGCTGCCGCACTTTGATTGACAATTGCGCGGTCATGCAACATTGTACCCATATGAAATTTTGATCATTTTTTTCTCACAAATAGAGCTTTCTTTTGGTGGTATTTAATCGCCACTGGGCGCTTTACTTTTTGCACTATAAATAAAAAAAGTGCAAAAAATTAAAAAAAAAAAAAAAAGTTTATTTGTTTCTTTTATAAAATTTTTCAAACAGGTATTTTTTTCTCCTTCACTGATGTGCGTTGATGAGGCAGCACTGATGGGCACTGATAGGCGGCACTGATGGGCACTGATAGGCAGCACTAAAGGGCACTGATAGGCAGTACTAATGAGGTGGCACGGATAGGCGGCACTGATAGACAGCACTAATTAGGGGTCACGGATAGGCGGCACTAATATGCAGCACTGATAGGCGGCACTGATAGGTGACACTGATTATGGGTACTGATAGACGGCACTGACTGGCATCACTGCTGGGCACTGACTGGCGGCACAGACTGGTACAACCCCTGGGCACTGACTGGTGGCACTGACTGGCAGCACTGCTGGGCTGCACTGGTGGGTGGCACTGGTGGGCAGCACTGGTGGGTGGGCACAGGTGGGTGGCACTGGTGGGCACAGGTGGGTGGGCACAGGTGGGTGGCACTGCTGGGCACATGTAGGTGGCACTTCTGGGCACAGGTAGGTGGCACTGCAGAGTGGCACAGGTGGATGCACTGCTGGGCACAGGTGGGGGCACTGCTGGGCACAGGTGGGTGCACTGCTGGGCACGGGGTGGGCGGAGCTAGTGGGCGCACTGCTGGGCGGAACTTGCGGGTGTCACTGCTGGGCACCGATCATCAGGGCACTGATCATCAGTGCCCTGATGATCGGTGCCGATCCCCGCTCTGACAACTGCCGGTTCTCGGCAGTACTTTCCTCACGATCTGACAGCGTGAGGAAAGTGCAGCCGAGAACCGGCACTTGCATTTCCCTGTGATCAGCATGTCATTGGACACCGCTGATCACGTGGTAAAAGGCCGCTGTGATTGGCCTTTTACCACATCACGTGATCAGCTGTGTCCGTAGGACACAGCGATCACGGAGATCGCCGGGTGCGCGCCCCCTGGGGCGCGCAGGAGAGCGCGTTCTGGGAGGACGTCATATGACGTCCACCCAGAACTGGCCGGCCGCGGTGAAGCCGTCATTCGGCTATGCACGGTCGGCAAGAGGTTAACTGTCAAGAGCAAAGAATATACCTGGTAGTTCCAGGTATGGAGAAGAATGAATGAGTCCTTTGTGCAGTGGCCATGCACCTTCAGAATGACCAATCTTCAGTGAATTCATGAATGACTGAAGGACTGTGTCCTTTATTGCTAGGATGCAGGTATTTTAAATTCCCTGTGGTCCTTTGTTGCTTGGATGCAAGCAGCTGCAGCCAGGCCCGGACTGGGGCAGCCCTTTTATTTTTAAAGAAAATTGCAAATAATGACAACTACTGGTTTCCCAATGTCATTTAGTTATACTTAGCCAACTTTAATCACTGACATGTATCAATCATTTAGATTTATACAAATATATGATGAGTACTGTGGGGCAGTACTGCCACCAGACGCGATCTATTTAAGTGAATGGGGCTATGTTAAAACACATGTAATGTACACAGTTGCAGTGCTGCATTTACAGAGTTAAAACAGGAGGTGAGATTTCGTATTACCTCCTCTCAACCGCCTTCTGAAGGACATTCCACTGCACATCACTTTTGAGAGGGACAGCTGTCCGTCTAGACCCTGCCTGTGACCTAATACAACCAGTAGCCGGCCTTGTTCTTGTACAGGACAATGAAGACCAACATTACCGGTGTGAAGGGGTCCTATATGATATTACTTCATTCTACACCCACATTTTGGCTCCCTTCTCACTGTTGGCATATCAATAATTTCAAGTCTCTAACCATTTGATGTCTCTGACCATTTTACAAAATCTCACCACGCTATATAAATCCTGTATAACAATATTAATAATACTTCAGTAGACCCAAGTGTGAAGTAAACTAACGAGCCCCTAGCTGTGGTTACAATCTCTGCCCAGACTCCTCTGAGGTGTCGTTCCCACTTTTTGTTTTACCTCACTCCAAAAACGAGACATGAAACGCACCTGGAGCCTGCCCCTATCTACCCTAGACAGCACGTCACATGAGAGTGTGGGGATGTAAGCCATGTAGCCAGTCCACATTGTATCCATCCCTTGGAATGTTTGTGGTTGGTGATTGGCCAAGGCCTCGAGCTGCAAAAGCTGTAGTCTTTTGCGCATGCGTGGTAGCATCTCTAGGACAGCTTGGTATTTGTGTTATGTTGTCGGACTTGTGTGCTGTCCGCCATGTCCCTGCACAGGAAATGATAGGAAATATACAAGTACAAGGCGCCATGGATCGTGTATTCCATGAACTGGAGCGTGAGGCTGGACAAGAGGTTTTGGTTGGCTTAAGAAAGGAAGAAAGTACAGTTCTAGCAGCTTTCAATTCTTGTTGGGGCAAAACACTCTTTCTCCTTTTTATTCCTCACCTCAATCACTACTGCAGCTTCACCACAGCCGCAGCAACACAGGAAACTTGTTTTAAAGTGATGGACACCGCATCCTGTTTACCCATTGGCCTAGAGGCATTGGTAGGCGGTGAAGCCTGCCTCCTGCTACCTCTTCAGCCAATGGGTAGCTGAAGTCCTCTTTTAAGTCCCTCCCTCTTGATTTGACTCGGAATCTCCCAAGTCCCAGTCCAACCAGCTTGCTTACTATGTGGAGGGGAGGCCCAGGATGACACATTTAATGATGCGAATGATCACATAGCAAGCTTAGTGACAACTCATATGTACAGCCTGCCTGCAGCACAGATCTTATTGGACTCTGGTTTATGCAAGGGAGAAGCTAATGGCCTGGGAAGGGAGGGGGTGTAGATTCGGACGTGTGCAGGGGTGACGCCGGCAGCGGTGCAGGTGTTTTACGGGGCTGCAGACTGATCCAAGAGGCAATTGCCACCTTGCCCCCCAGCCCAGTCTGCCCCTAAAGATAACCCTTTTGATGGCTAGGACATGCGAGGAGGCTCAAGCATAACCACATAAATGCAAGTGTTGAATGCTAAAGAAACTAATAGAGTCTCAGACACTGGAATAGAGGCGAGGTAAGCTATAATATAATATCTTTTCTATTGCAGGGACCTTTTATCTATTATTTTTTTTTTAATTGACAGAGTCACTTTAAAGTTTCTGCTGTACATTAGTGTAATCCCTAGTTGGCTGGAAAATTACGGCTATTGCACTGGAAAATGGCTCATATCTAGAAATCCTTCGGACATATTCACTTATTGTTTGACCATACTACACTGACAAGTATATATAAAAACCTAAGCATATTTTAGGCTCTGGTTAAATAGGAGAAAATAATTTAGCAAAAATATAAATCCTGTATAATAATAATACTATTGTGAAAAATATTAATTTTACAAAATACGTTCTGCATTAATCAAGCTACAGTTGTGGCCAAAATTATTCAACCCCCACTGAAATTGAGTGTTTTGGCCAGTTTGACATTGCTTTTGATCATTCAGTCATCTTGCTTACATTTACATTAAAGAGGCACTTGTAGGTCAGACAAATATAACATAACAGTTATAATGAAATAACCACAAATGTCTTTTCTGTGCTCACAGCATTATCAGTTTTATTCAACCCCCAAGTGACATTCAATCTTAGTACTTAGTACAGCATCCTTTTACAGTTATAACAGCTTTTAAACGTGAAGCATAGCTTGACACAAGTGTCTTGCAGCGATCTACGGGTATCTTCGCCCATTCTTCATGGGCAAAGGCCTCCAGTTCAGTCACATTCTTAGGCTTGCGCACTGCAACTGCTTTCTTTAAGTCCCACCAGAGGTTCTCAATCGGATTTAAGTCTGGTGACTGCGATGGCCACTCCAAAATGTTCCAGCCTTTCCTCTGCAACCATGCTCTAGTGGACTTGGAGGTATGCTTGGGATCATTGTCCTGTTGAAAGGTCCAACGTCTCCCAAGCCTCAGGTGTGTGACGGACTGCATCACGTTTCCATCCAATATCTCCTGGTACTGAAGAGAATTCATGGTACCTTGCACACGCTGAAGCTTCCCTGTACCTGCAGAAGCAAAACAGCCCCAAAGCATGATTGACCCTCCACCATGCTTCACAGTAGGCAAGGTGTTCTTTTCATCATAGGCCTTGTTCTTCCTCCTCCAAACATAGCGTTGATCCATGGGCCCAAACAGTTCTAATTTTGTTTCATCAGTCCACAGAACACTATCCCACAACTTTTGTGGTTTGTCCACATGGCTTTTGGCATACTGCAGTCGACTCTTCTTATTCTTTGGAGACAGCAAGGGGGTACGCCTGGGAGTTCTGGCACGGAGGCCTTCATTACGCAGTGTGCGTCTTATTGTCTGGGCTGAAACTTCTGTACCCACATCTGACAAATCTTTTCTCAGTTCCTCAGCAGTCACACGGGGACTTCTCTCCACTCTACGCTTCAGGTAGCGCACAGCAGTCGAAGTCAGCATCTTCTTTCTGCCACGACCAGGTAGCGTTTCAACAGTGCCCTTTGCCTTGAATTTGCGAATGATGCTTCCTAAGGTGTCTCTTGGTATGTTTAACATCTTTGCAATCTTCTTATAGCCATTGCCCTTCCTGTGAAGAGAAATCACCTCTTCTCTTGTCTTCCTGGACCATTCTCTTGCCTTCACCATGTTTGTAACCACACCAGTAAATGTCTAGAAGGAGCTGAGTATCACAGTCATTTTAAAGCTGCCTAATTGGTGCTTATTATGCTTGATTGCTGCTCGGTGACATCCACAGGTGTTTTCAATACCTGATGGAAAGCACCTGTATGAACCTCTGTTCTTCAGAGTGGTAGTCTTTAAGGGGTTGAATAATTGTGGCAATGAAGAAACCACATAAGAACCATTTACTACTGTATTACATAAACAATTGATGTCATTTTAGTTGCATTTGGGTAGTTACAACGTCCTTGTAGGATTTGATTCTGAATACAATTCCAAATGTACACTATAGTCCCTAAACCCCTTTACAGCATTGGGGGTTGAATAATTTTGGCCACAACTGTAAATCTGCATTTTTGTCAATTTGTCAGCTTGAATGAAAAAAAATCTAATCTGGGTATTTATTGAAACTGTATGCCAATTAAAAGCCTTATATGCCTTAAAAATTAAAAATACATTTGATAGGAAAAACAGTCACCTTTTTTTCAGGTTAGCCAATGCATATTGAAACTTAGCCTGGGGATCCATGTTTAAATGAACCCCAACCAGGAAAAACTTAAAATATAACCAAAGAAAACACTTTTTCTAGTTTTGGATAAGGTGGAGAGGGATTAGAATGGGTTGTCACTAGAAGAACAGAGGGGAAATCCTCCAATAGCAAACCTAATTTTGGTGATCCTGGTATCAACAAGGGATTCCCTGTAAATATCACAATAATTAAAACTGAAAAGTCCAAATCAGATGCTGAAATCTCACAGATCTTCTAATAGGGTTCTCCCAAATAAAGTATAAAAGAATACAATTCTCATGTGATTTTTTTAAAAAAAGTTTTTCAGTAACCAGATAGAATAAAAATCTTCACGAACTTGCTCAAAATATCAGTTAGTAAAATCACCACTAGTGAGGAACCATCACCTCCAGCCTCTCACTTGATGAATAGACCTACTGAAAGTCAGTCTGATCACGCCTTTAACCCTATTATCCCTGGGTTGTGGGAATATTCTTCCTCTATGGATCCTCCAGATAGCCAATATAAACAGATCGTCGATTTCCATGAAAGGATATGCTGACATAGTATGTACCCGTATGCACAATTTATTAAAAAAAGAATTAAAATAACACTCACAAGTAAAGTGCACTATTCTGGTGCACTACAGATACCAGCATTATGGGAATAAATCCTCCATATGACTGCTATGGCTAGTGGAGACTCCGTGAGTAGGGT